ATGGATGGATGGATGGATGGATGGATGGATGGATGAATAAAAACATTAATTGTCAGATTAGTTAATAAGTGGATAGATGGATGGATGGATGAGAGATTTTCGAGTATCTTCTCTAAACAAAATATCTAACCTTTCTGGAAGTTGGCATTTGCACCTTTCTTCAGCAACAACTCCACAACATCATCTGCGCCTGCATTTGCAGCATGTAACAATGCTGTCCATCCTGACCGCAGAATGGTATCCACACCAATACCTAAAAACAAAATAAAAACCACACCTCAAATCTATTCCCATAAAAAGGCACAGCGTACAACAGGAAGGCGACATTACCTTGATCCAAAAGCTTCACTACTCCAACCTTGTTGCCTTTGACAGCTGCATTTTTCATGTCATCCAGTAGTATAGGATTTGGACCCGAATCTCTTGGTTTTATTGGGCTTTTATGACTAGTCTTTGGAAAGTGAGAGCTTGGACTATAGGAAGAGACACATAAACACAGACAATCATCGTGTTATAGTAAAAAAATCTGGCTTTGAAGAGGAGAGTAAAATCCTACTAACCTTGTGTGTTGTCGTGCAGTTGACGCAGATGGTGGCATACCAAAACCGCCTCTGGACCTCGTATGCTGTCCAGACTCACGGAATACACCTCTTCCCCTCCCTACTGAAGGCTGCACTGCTGAAGGACCAGCTGTGTGGTTTTGGTTTCTTTGAAGAGGTTTTTCAGTTTCAATGCGGGTTTGCTTGCGGGTGAACTCGGAAAAATCGCTTTCGTCAAAATCAAAGTCATCGTCGTCAGAATCCTCAAAACCAGCTGGAATGAAACTCATCTTTATCTTAACAAACTATCCGCCTAATCAAAAGAGTTTTTGAAGTCTTTTCTATCGTGAAAATGTTGATAAAAGATAAGAAACACTTTGAAAGACTTTCACTGTGCCGCCATGTTTGCAGTGTTTCACGTGGGAATTCAACACTCCAGTGGGGGAGGGTGCGTCGAATTTKTTCTATCCAGTACTCCTTTTTTCAATAGACTAATTTAAAAAATCGTACTTTTTAAAGCCTTCCCATAAACAAAAGAGCTAGCATATTTTTCATTTAATTTTCCATCGCTATTCTAAACTTATGGCTACAAATTTTGTTGGTGGAATAAAAACTCAGTGGGGAGTGGTAGGTAGATTTTGTTTTGTCACGCAACCCAATATTAATCCAATATTTTATCTAAATTTTATGTGATATATCGCATGTCGCACTTTTTATGGAGGCTGGAATTTTAGTTTCTAAAAAATATATCCCTTTCAAAAAAGATTTTTTCTCTTTAACGCATTTTCTCTTGTCACGTGTGGAGCTTTAGTCACGCAATTCAAATCAAATAGTAGTCCTTTGTTAGCAGCATTTCTCCCGCTACTATTTCAAGGAATATGCTTCTCAAAGACGTGGTTTGCCTCGTCACTGGAGGTGCTTCTGGTCTTGGTCTAGCTACTGCTAGGAGACTTCTGAACCAAGGAGCCAGAGTTGTGATTGCTGATTTGGCCAGCGATGATGGAGAACACATCGCTGAAGAACTTGGCGCTAACTGCACGTTTGTTAAAGCTGATGTAAGTAAGGGTGTTAACGTTGGTTATAATTCTGTAACACTTTTATTTAAAGTATTAATTATAGTGTCTTTTTTGTTKTTTKTTTTATTATTGTGCTTCAAGCTGTGAAATATGCGCATGTTTATTGGTAATAACAATAGCAATATCCTGATACTAATCCTGATCTAGTATCGTAAACCAATATACTTCATGACCTAAATCCGCGCAGTTTAGTAACAAACACCAGATGGAAGTTTCCATACATTCTTAAAGATGTTAAGAAACCTTTTTATGATATTTTTTTTTTAAATTAAAAGTCCTATTACAGCAGTATATTGAGCTATCTGTCTTAGAGAAAAACACAGGTATCCCAGCTTTGAAATATATATCTCAAATTGATGGGCTTTTTCTTTTGTAGGTTACTTCAGAGAAAGATATAGATATAGCAGTATCAACAGCCAAGGAGAAGTATGGCCTAATAAATACGTCTGTTAACTGTGCTGGAATCAATGTTACCAAACCAACAATATCAGAAGATGGTGAACTTCATTCTTTAGATTTGTTTGAAAAGGCTATCAAGGTAATGGTGCATTCTGTTTGGTGATTGAGTGGATCTAATCAGAGGAGCTCTGGGATCTAATGAACCAATCAGAATGCAGTAATTAGCAAATCATTGTCTTCCAATGGAGGAACCAATCAAAACAATTATTAACTAATCTGAAAAATCAATAAACCAATTCAGGCAATCACAGTTCACTAAAATTTGAGTTATCAGAAATTATATACCATATTTCCTCACTTCCTCACAAGTACATTAAATTATTAAATCAATTAATTACTTATAAGATGCATCTTATTAAGGTGCACCTTATATGTGAGGAAATATTAAATGTTTTGACCAAACCTTTTTTTTAATCCCAACTAACTAATGAATTGCCCAATCACAGATCACCATTGAACAAACCAATCAGAACATGATTAAAAAAAGAGCAGACAAAATTCAGCAACCCAGTTAAGAAAAATGAAAATGGTCTTATTTAGTCCTGGTTAGCCCTTGTTGCTCCTGGAAAAAAATGCTCTTTCCAGCATATCTCTTTGAACCATCTCTATTTACCAGATCAATGCCAGTGGGACATTCAATGTAGCAAGATTGGTTGCCATGGCAATGTCAAAGAACACACCTAATGATGGTGGTGAGAGAGGTGTTATTATTAATGTGTCAAGTATCCATGGTTATGAGGGACAGGGCGGTAAAGTGGCATATTCGGCCACCAAAGGAGCCATCAATGCCATGACTCTTCCTCTTGCACGGGATTTGGCAAAGTTTGGAATCAGAGTCAACACTATTGCACCTGGTGAGAACTGTCATTTGAACGCTACAAAACAATTAGATTAGAGACAAATAACAGCTTCTCACTTGCATTCAGCAGAATGATTTTGTTTATTATCACATACCAATTCTTTTTGTCTTTATTTTAGGGTTGTTCGAAACTCCCATGTTTGTTGCAGGGAGACCAGATCCTGTGGGCCGAGCTGCCATCACAAAAACTGTTCCCTTCCCAAGCCGTGCAGGAACCCCAGAGGAATTTGCACATCTCGTTCAAGCAGTCATTGAAAACCCAATGATGAATGGAGAAGTTCTAAGATTAGATGGTGCTGTTCGTTTATCCTAGGATGACTAGGGTTCTACCTAAAGTTGTCAAGCTTATTGATCACTGACTGAACTAGGAAATACTTCTTTTATAATCATAGAGGTTTATGGATTGCAAACTTGGAATAATTCTAAATTCAATAGACCATTTTCGAGTTCCAAATTACTGCTGTGATTCATTAGCCTCAAATCAGTGTCTAAATATTCACAAATACCAACAGTAAAGTAAAGAATGCAAAACTTCAACAATACAAACGCGGACCTTCACTAGAACACATAATTATTCTGCACAAAATCAAGGCTAACCCTGTGCAACAGCAAAGTAGAAACTGGAGTATTGTAACTTTCTTTTCCAAACTAAGAAATATACATTAAACTTTTGATACCCAGTACACTTACTTGAGTCTTGACAAGCTCTTGATTCTAACTAGAATTCTGATCATGTCATGTAGTGAGAATCGAAAGCTTGTCAAGACTCTCATAATAGTCTACTGAGTATCAAAAGTTTAATAAATAATTTTTACAATGCGACTACAATAACTGGGGCCACCTCGACAGCAAGAACCAATCAAATTGTAAAATTTGAAGAAGTTAGGGACTGGTCATTATTTATCGAAAGGGGGGAGGCTGGTGCATTATGAAATATGCTATGCTTGATTTTTGCTGACCCCCCTTCTTTTTAAGCATGATTTTTGCTGATTTTTGCTTAAACCTATGCATAAAATATACTGACCCACCCCTATTTGCACAGACCCCCCCCCCTCCATAAATAATGGCTAGTCCCTTAAGGAAATAACAAGAGGTTGATTCAACAATGGCAAGCCAATCTGAAACCTAGTCTGCATGAATGGTATTTTAACCCTGATGTTATCTATAAGCAAAAATGGTCATTTTCTTGTGAGAATAAAGAGGTATGTTAAAAGGCTATCGTTTTCTGCTGTTTTCCTGCTCCAGCGACCCAAATTTGAAATACATGTATTGTTTTCATTCTACAACTTTATTGGTTCTCACATTCAAGGTGGCCATGATTATCGGAGTCCCACCATAAGTGTATCTCAACCAGTGCACATGAAAATCCATATTTCTATTCAAAATATACATAGTGTTCATTTTAAACTGGATAAAAAATTGTTTTAGTTTTCACTATGGAGTTGAAGGGATATGTTTTTAGGAGGTACATTTACAGTTCAATGAGGCAGTTAATTTTCTCTGGTGATTATCCTTCTTTACTGAAGGCAATAAAGGTAAACTAGTAGGACAAAAAGAAATCTGCTTAATAAAATGGTGGCATCCATATTCAGCTGTTTGTCTGTAAAGCAAGGTTCGAATGTAGATCTGAGTTCCAGTTTGACTGGCATTTCTTTCTTTGTTCTTTCATTATTTTTTCTATCCAGGGCCATAAATAACAGGCAGTATAGTTTTAGCTTGATCACACCTTGTTTCTGATGAAAATGACCAGCAAGGCAGGAGTTAACCAAGTTCCAATCCTGGCCAAACATTGTCCAATGACAGTACCCCAATGATGGTACCTCAATGACCGGCCATTTTTTTTTAGCCCTACCATATCATTGCAAGAATCCATATAGTTAAAATATTTAAATACTAACAATCTCAACACATTTTTTGTAAATCTTCCCAGGGTTCTTGAAATTTTATTCATATCTCTTTTTGTACAAAAAAGTACAAAGTATATTCATAGCATGTATAAACCCTAATTAAATACCCTATAGTCCAGCAAAATATATGGATAATACATTTTTAAAAGGGCAGACAGGTTACTCAAGGCTGCATTCTTAGTGCTCCGTCAATCCTGATGGTTTCCCCATTCATTATAGGATTTTCCATGATGCACTGCACAAGGTGAGCATAATCTTCAGGATCCCCCAGGCGACTGGGAAAGGGAATGGTCTTAGCCAGTGCTATCCTTACTTTCTCTGGTAAACTAAGAAGCAGTGGTGTCAAGAACAAACCTGAAAAATAAATAATGAGTAAAGTTTCAAAGGAGGGTTCAATGAGATGCAAATGATTCCAGATGATGATATGTGATGATGATGTGTGATGATGATACATGTTGATGATACATGATGATGATGAT